AGAGAGAGAGAGAGAGAGAGAGAGAGAGAGAGAGAGAGAGAGAGAGAGAGAGAGAGAGAGAGACAGAGAGAGAGAGAGACGGAGAGAGAGAGAGAGAGAGAAAGAGAGAGCAAGAGAGACACACAAAACAAGAGAGAAAAGAGACCACCACTCACCAGAACCACAGGAAAATGTAAATCTTCTCGTTGAAGATATTGAGCGGGAGAACGCACAGACCGTCGTGTTTCTCCTGGCTACCCGAAGCCCCGGAGATGTGGAAGGTACACTTGGCTACTTTGGGGAACACGCGGTCCATCGGGTCGTCTCTCGAAGCGATCTCCTGCTGGCTGAACTCGACTACCTCGCGCCCGTACGTCGAGAAGCTGTAGCCGAGGAACCTGCAGACGGAGGAGGGGGGGGGGGGGGATTGGAGATTAGCTTTGTGGCTGATGAGTTTTGATTTTTATTGAGATTGGTTTTTATTGGTTCGTTATGTGGGATGTTATGGAATTAGGTTTTTTTTTATGATGAATCCTATCTAATTTTATAGTAATTCAGTTTTGTGATTAGTATCTAATCTTCATCTGTGAAATTTAGCAGAAATACGTTTTATAATTAACCCTATTCTGCTACTATTCATTTGCATGTTGCTATTTTTGGATCAATTAGACATTCGACTATCAAGACAAATATATCCAAATTTATGAAATCACTTGAAGTTGATTTCTAAAACGAAAACTAGATCCGAACGATACTCACGCATCCGTTATGTAAATCTGTGCAATCACATTGATGAAGTTTAAAACCTCGCAGCAGAAGAACTTAAAAGCGTAGATATTGTGGTTATTCATATTCAACCTGAAGTAAGACACGAGCATGTCCTTGCGCTGTTTCTTGACGTCATCATCAACAATGGGCGTGTCCAGCTGCATCACCAACATCTTAATCTTGCCTCCTTCCCACATCTTCCACAGGTAGCGCGGGACGTAGAAGAAGAGGGCCTGGGGGGGAGGGGGGAGATTCACTCTTTATGTGCCACACACACACACACACACACACACACACACACACACACACACACACACATATATATAAATATACACGTATGTATATCTGTTTGTATCTGTGTAGATATATATACACATATATGTATGTATGTATATGTATATATATATGTATATATATAATATATATAAAGAAGGCATTATACACACATAGATATACACTCCTTAAGGATTTTTTTATGAGAATGAACTATACTATATGTATTTTAGCCAAGAGAAAGTTTTTGAATTCCTAGCATCAAACACTCCCATCCCTACGAGAGTATTATCAGAGGAGAACTTCCGACCCAGATCGGCCCAGCCACTTGAATGTCCTCAGAACTATCCACATCCATAAGGCCATCATTGACCCTCGTGTTCCTTAATTAAATCTTAAATTGTCCAGTTTTGAAAATGAACTTTGAAAAATAATCCACAACAAGGTGAGCACACAGAACCACTGAGAATTCCTCCTTCAAAGAATTCGATCCTGATCCATACCTGGAACGCCAGGACGAGGGTCACCCACTGGTAGTACTTGTGGTGCTTGATCTCGCGTTTCTCTTCGCCGGGGGTGTTTGGGTTCGCGACGCCCGGGTGCGCCACCTCGTTCCCGACGACGGCGCCGTTCAGTTCGGGGATGGTGAACGTTGCGTGGATCCAGCAGTAGGTATCCATCGCCTCTTGATCGATTTGTTCCACGATGCAGTCGATCGGGTCGCCGAAGTACTGCCGCTGCGTCACGAGCAAGCTGCACGCCAGGAGAAAGAACATCGTGACTTTGTAGTGCATTTGGAAGATCCTGTTGTCCACGCTGAGGGAGTCCACTTTGAGCAGACCCCGGATTGAGTCGAAAACATCATGCATCGTGGAGAGGCGAGGAGGCTTCGAGACTAGCCACGTAGAGGGAAATTATCCTATGAAGGATCCAGCGACGGGAGGTATGGCACTCCTCCTCGTCAGGACGTCCAAGTGGCACTACGGTTGTCGGTGTCATGCCAGACGTACATGTTTAAGGCTTTTGGTAACCGGATGTGCTTCCTCGAAAGGGGGATAGGGGGAGGGGGGTGATACGCCCCACGTAATTCCCTTGACTCTCTGAAATGTAGCCATACATTTTTTTTTCTTCTTCATATTCACCCAACATTCTTTATCTAAATTACCCGTTTATCAAAATATCTGCAGTGTTGCCACGTCTAATTTTCTACAATCGCTAGGCCGAATTTGGATCAAATCGCCCAAAGCCAGTTCTTAAAATCCGGTTCATCAGTCTTCGAAAGAGCGACTGGCAAGACATACCATGACATGAAGCAGCCGCAGCACTAAGGGAAAAAATTAACCGTGACGTTTCGAGTAAGACGAATCCCCATCACACGGCAAACCCCGAAATGGAAGTAAATTATATATACTTGAAGTAAATTTCGACCAAAGTGTATATTTCGAGCATCCATTTTGATTTTATTGTCCGAAGACTGTTTCTCTCACTATCGTGGCTGCCTTTCGCTTCAATTTTTGCCTGTTGTTCCGTTGCATGTTCAAATTCAATCAAACATGATGGTAAACTATATCACCGAGTGGCAAGTTACAGAACGGAGATCAAATGAACTGATTGGCAAAACCTCCTCTTATGATATTTTGGTCTTATGTGACTCTATAATTATTTGTGAAATTGTGCGTGAACAAACTTTCCATTGATGCACCTTTTAAATAATGCAATGTAATTTTTCTAACATGGAGCTTAAAAGACTATACCATTCACTCTATAAATCTGGATGAAGACGTATGATAAAATGGTAGTTCATAATCAGTAAAAACGAGAAGTGATAGATTGATAGATAGAGAGTCAGAGAGAGAGAAAAAAGAGAGACAGACAGACAGAACGAGAGAGAGAGAGAGAGAGAGAGACGGGAAGTCAGAGAAGTAGACAGAAAGACAGACAGATTGATAAACAAACAACCACATATACAGAGACAGAAAACAAGTTAGGGAGAGAGAAAAAAACATACAAACAGACAGGCAGACTGACAGACAGAAACAGAGACAGAGACAAAGAGAGAAATTTAAAAACTAACAAAAAATGGCTCACTCATAAACAAACAGACGTAGATAAAAGCAACAGCATTCAAGTAGCTTTTTTTTCTTAATTAGAATAAAGTCATCGAAAAGCTTATTCTAGAGAAAATACCAAAAAAAAATAGAGACAGTGTCATTTGTGTTACAACGTTGTCAACCAAATGCCTGACACACACACGTAGGTGTTCAGCTTCTTTATCTAAAAACAGAGCATTATACTGTGTGTCTTTGTGTGTATTTGAATGTGTGCCCGTATGTGATTATATATAAGTGTGTGTGTGTGTGTGTGTGTGTGTGTGTGTGTGTGTGTGTGTGTGTGTGTGTGTGTGTGTGTGTGTGTGTGTGTGTAGTATGTATACACATAAAATGCATATCTCTAAATCACTGCGAGTTAACTATGATCTCTTCACCTCCCCCCTTAGTACGAGAGATTGATGAGCATATTGTTAACGGTAATATCAACGAAAATGAGGACAATCATTATAACTATTACCATAATCATCAACACTGTTATAAGGAACAAAGTTACTAATATTACCAACAGCTATAATCATAAAGACTATTGTTGATATTATTCTTGTGGTTACCAACAATATCATCATCATCATAGCCATTACTACTGATTCAGTTTTAGTAAACTGAATGCCAGCTTGCTTGAACCACTGGCATCCAGCTAACACGAAAATTCTGAATGGCGTCAGAACAGCACAAAACTCATCTTGTGAAGGAGTTTGGATGGTTAATGATTAATGCATTAAACAAATAAATATGCAAGACATCAAAAGGTCTTATAGCACTATGGTAAAGTTTCGTGGTGGATAGGGGGTTTTAAAGATGTTTTTCATTAGAGCAAAATGTCTTTGATTTCAACGGTCATGGTATTATAAGTAAAGTATGGTAGTGAAAGAGGTAGAAAGAAGGTTAGGATTGGAATTGGTAGAAGGGAAAGGGTTAAGGACAAAGAGTGATTAGATCAAATGGAAGAAGGTATTTATGCGACTGAGTGAGAAAGGAGAATGGGTTGTTAGCTGAAAAAGTGGGGGACTTCGAGAGGATATCCGACAGGATGGGGGGGGGAGGGGAAAAGAGGACAAGTGAGGAAAAGCGGGGGTTGCGGGCTTCAGTAAAGCAAGGGTAGGATAGCAGCATATGTGCAGTATATGTGGGACTGAAAGAGGAACATTGGATTGGGAGCACAGAGGTGGACTAGAGCGTAACATGAGGTTTGAATGCGTCAAGGGCAGTTTCCCAGTGTCTGTTCTGGTGGCATGGTGCCGACTAACGAGAGTGGAGGGCTTTAGAAAGGCTCAGTAGATGCCCATCGATACTCAGAGTTGAGCTTCGCTATATAGCCGTAGGGGCGTACGCTGTAGAGGGTAAAATTTGTATCTAAAACAATGCTACAGGAAGGTAACAAGGCAATTGCGTTAGTGCCTTTTTTTTCCAAAGATATCAATTGTATTCAAAATATTGATACAAGTAGGAGGTAATCGAGGTTTGCCGTGGTCAGACATATACAGGGTCCTTTCCCTTATTTAAATCTGAAATTCAAGGACTTTTCCACCTCCAGGACCTTTCCACATTAAAAAATATTTTTCAAGGGTGTATTTGAAACAAAATATGACACCCAGTTTTTAAGAGGTATACAGTAAAAGTAGATTTAAGTAGATTTTTCATAACCCATTTTCATATACTTCATTCTTATTTCCAAGCAATGCACTGCAAAACTCTCACCATTACTTGCCTTCAAGCACTAAACTACTGAAACAGATGGTACAACTAGAGCAACAGTGAATATAATGTTCCCCGGAAGTGTGTGACAGAACAAACTAATCAAATCTCCGGTACCTTGTGTGTAACATGAAACAACGAGTCTTTGCAATTTGTAGCATGATATTGACGCTTTTCATGAAATAGGCGTTGAAAAACAAATCGAGTCTTCTGGTGTAAATTCCCATGACTTTCCCAGGATTTCTGTTGTTAAAAAATCCGTTTATCAAGGTTTTCCAGGCCTGGGAAATGAAAATGCTGGAATTAAATGTTTTCTAGGAATTCCATGTGGCGGAAGAACCCTGCGCGTACATACCAACAGTCAGTGCAATTGCCTAAGCGCCATAGTTCGTGTAAACGATGCCAACTATATCCAGAGTAATATTAAAGGCAATGAAGAATGCGAGGTATTGTATTGCATTATGTGTGTGTGTGTGTGTGTGTGTGTGTGTGTGTGTGTGTGTGTGTGTGTGTGTGTGTGTGTGTGTGTGTGTGTGTGTGTGTGTGTGTGTGCCTGCGCGCGCGCTCACGATATGTAGGCCTATGTCCATATATATATGAATATATACTATATTCATATATATATATATATATATATATATATATATATATATATATATATATATCTATATATACATACATACATATACTTGCTCTGATCATGTTGCTTCCTTAAAGTTGTTAGATGTAAGTAGCATAAAACGCCCAGCTGTTAACTCGATGTCCCAAAAGGCAGAGCGAGAGATCTGTCTTCGGGATCGGCTGTTTGTCCTTGAGCAGCTGCCATGAAAGCCTATTTCCTCTCGATGCTCATTTCTCCTGGCTTTTACATGACATTTTCTTTATTCTTTGGTGCAGTTGTGTTTTTTCTTCTTCTTTACGAGGAGGGCGAACTATTAGTTATTGTGTTATTTGATTTCTCTTCTGGGAGGATTATCGAAAAAGGTGACTATGTCACTTACCAAATTCAAGGCAAGTGCTTTCATCTCTAACCTCTCCCTCTCTTTTTTTTTATTTTCATTCTCATTTACATTTTTATTCTCATTCTCATTCTCTAGCTTTTCCTTTGCCTCTCTCTCCCTCCTTCTCCCTCTCCCTCTCTCTCTCCCTCTTCCTTTTCCTCTCCCTCGATGCCAATTATGTAAACTACCAACCTTGTCGACGAGTTCCAGTTTTCAAACTCGAGTGGAATAACATGGTGACAGTCATTACGACATCTGAGCCTCCTTTCGGCCCCTGTCCAGACACCAACTGTAATGCGAGGCCCACTAACAGCCCCCCACCCCGCCTCGTTTACACTCGTAGACAGACCTTTGCTGCTTTCTACCCCTCCCGGCTCGCTTAGTAACAGGACCTAAGGTCAAACAACTTAACGACTGATTTTAGAATACGATATATTTAATCATGGGGCAAATTTATTCTACCAGGTAAATGCACTTTTGTTTAACTTTTTAGTTTATTAGCTTGCTGACTACAGTCGAAGATCTGTTAGAAGTTTTATGCCTTTTACGGGTTACACGTGAAAAAGCGTGGTTTTGGACGCAAGACTGCTTGGAGGGTGGGGAGGTAGGGGCCAAGGTCTATAAACCTTGGCCGCGGCTTTGTCCCGGGACCCTGAGCCCGGAAAATGAGGCTTTCTTTTCAATTCGTTATTATCGATTGTCTTGTCCGTAAGGTGTGCGCACAAACATACACACACACACACACGTGTATGTTTGTTTATGTGTATATATAAATATATATGTATATACATATATGTAAGTACATATGGTAACGTATAATCATGCATATGTATTCGTGTGTGTGTGTGTGACATATAATCATACATTGTGTAGCCCGAAAAAAATACTTAGCTGCCGTAGTATATCGGACGATCAATTTTACTCTGTAGCGTTAATTCTCGAACAACCATCAACTTCTGGTTTGACTGTTGTACTACAAGTTTTTACTTAAAACTGTATCATAGCAGTTCAGATGTTCGTGTTGAAATTCTATGCATATGGACTCATCCCTGACAATCTAATTTTCCTATGATTTTTTTGAGTTTCAGACATTATAGTACAAGTTCTAAAAACGACAAATTCTAGAATAGTAATAAACACACACGGAGGAAAGAGAGATGAACTAAAGCAATAAGAGAATCGACTGACGAAGACTTAATAAATGAATAATATCCACCACAGGAAAGGAGATATTACGTGGCGAGAGAGAGACAATGCTGTGTGGCCTGATAAGATTGATTAGATATGTTGGTTTACAGTCTTGAGCAGGAGATAGCGCTCGCAGCTACTGTAAGTTTTAGATCTTTTCAAACATTTCAAACTCTCCTAAAAGTAGGAGAGAGAAAGGGGGCAGACAGACAAAGAGAAGGGGGGGAGGCACGCAGGCAAACAGAGAGAGAGAGAGAGAGAGAGAGAGAGAGAGAGAAAGAGACAGAGAAAGAGAAAGAGAAAGAGACAGAGAGAGAGAGAGAGAGAGAGAGAGAGAGAGAGAGAGAGAGAGAGAGAGAGAGAGAGAGAGAGAGAGAGAGAGAGAGAGAGAGACACAGACAGACAGACGAAAAAACGCGAGATTTAAAACCTGTACCCCGTATTTTATTTCTCATAATAAAAGGACCTGTAATTATAAAACTCAACAACTAATATCGAAAGTGATATTTCAGATATACAGAAGTTAGGACAGACAAGACAGAAATCGAGACAGGCCGATAGAAAAAGTGCGATATGAAAAGTATGTGCCATAGTCTTTCCTTCCTTTCGTTTCCCATTGCAGGGCATTGAACCTTTGTTTGCCAGGGTGAAAACACGAAAAATACAAAATAACTTTGAAAGTAACTTGTGAATCTTACTTTAGCTATATTCACAGTCCGTTGGTAAATAATCACTTGCTGAAATGTGTAGATAACTCAGCTTCGGAATCTATTGGCAAGTCAAAAAGGTCAAACTCCTTAATCTGACATTAGTTTCATCCATTGTCTTCATCCCACAAATTACTACTTTCTTAAATCACAATATAATCTTAGGTACAAGAGGAAAAACATCAAAACACTACAGACATTTGTTCATATTTATTCAATATCGTTCATACAGACAACTGGGGTTCTCTATCATGCACTCTCAAGCACACAATACACGCGCCAGTGCACTTCACACTATGCATCCATCGTCTACCCTGTCGAAGGGAAACGATTCCTGAATAAGGCGGCCTCTCTCACGCACATCACTTACTCCGTGTAAACTTGCATCCACATAATGTAAATATGGCTAAAAAATATAATTTACATGCGTCCAATACTATAATGTGATGGCCTTTATGTCTGGTTGAAAAATCATGAGAAAACATGGTTACTCATGGAGTTCATTACACTTTGAAACACCTTACACGTAAAACTACGTATCACAAACTATAATATTAACACGATAAGTAGAAAAAATACTTCCTCCTTAACAATATCAATAACTAAACTCATTTGGTCCCTTAAACCAGCGGTGAAAGGCAAAATGGGTCACAGTCTTACATATATCAACGCCATACAGTACTAGTATAGATCTATATAAACTGAAATCAACAGGAACTCATCTCACGTCGATGGAACATACAGGTGACTAGACTGGCTAAGGACATCCCTGTTACATACCACAATAACTCTGGCGGTGTTAAGGACACTACACCAAGGAACTTTACTGAGGTATTTTAGGATGCCCACAATGACCAATCTACTATAACAAAAAATGCATATCTGTTGTCGACGCTCATATTCTGAATGTATATAAAGAGCTCTAGTTTCCTAGTTTAGTCTAATCGGAATATGTTCCATTCCTATGTAACAAATAGTCAACAAGTGACAACCCTTTAAAAGATAAATATCAATATCGTCCCTAAAAATATCATTGCAAATCATGTCGTCCAACATTTGAAAAAAATCTGATCACGATTAAACTATTGAAGTAAATTTGACATCTAAAACGATTGTTCCCTGTAGAAATAAACAATAAACTAACATATAAACACTGAGAGATCTTCTCGTCCTCGTAAAGAAACATCCAAGTGACGACAGCTTTGTGACACCGTTTCAACTTTTATCATTTCCAAATTTTCTTGTATGCCTTTTTATGTTTTGTGCACCTTCATGAGTATTCCACAATCCGGAATTTTTCATTTGCACCATTTCCTTAACAGAACGAATAACCCGTCCACCAGAGGAAGCACCTAAGGAAAAATCCCCCGACCTTCGTGTGTCTCACTTTGAAACTTTTTTTCTGACACTGAGCAAATTTGGCATCCTTTTATATTTCGTGATAAAAAAAGAAAATAGTCCTGGGGCAGCTGAGACCCCGTGTCATGGCCGCTTCTCAATCATCTGTGATTACCAAGTCATTTGAAACCACACACGAATGGGGCCTAATGCTATAACGACGGCTTTAGACTGGGCCCTTTCCTTGAAGCTTGTTCGCCAGGTCGGTGATGAACTCCTTGTAAATCAGTGGGTCCATGTTCTTGGCTGAAAATGGAAAAATAAATAAATATTACAAAATGGTTTACACACAAATATGTACTTAATCGGATACACATACATAATGAATGTATAAAATGCATAAATCAATTTCGCGCAAGATCGCCACAAAAAATAATATGATACTAACCTAGTTGATAAAGAACGAACCAGTCTCCAATCTGGCACTTGCGGGAGATGGCCTCTACGTTGTCTGAGGATGCGAGTCGGGAGCGGGTCCTTAGAAGGATCTGACGGAATGCAGGAGTGAAGGTGGCCAGGCGGTAGAGCAGGCCAACGCCGGAGATCACAGCTACAATGATGAACCTAAAATGGAAAGGAGAAAAATATTACTTAAGGTAAATATTTCTTAGTTCTCTTCATTTCATTCCTTTAAATGGTATATCAATCCAATGGTTAATACACCCATTACGAACCCCTCATTATTACTTACCAGAACCAAAGGAAAATGTAAATTTTCTCGTTGAAGATGTTCAAGGGGAGCACACACAGGCCGTCATGTCGCTCGACGGTGCCTGAAGCTCCGTATTTGTGGAATGTGCACTTTGCTACCTTGGGGAACACCTCATCCATAGGGTCGTGGCGAGTGCCGATTTCCTGTTCGCTGAACTGAAGTACACGTGTGCCGTATGTCGTGAACTCGTAGCCAAGGAATCTGTAATAAAGAAAGGCGGATTGAGTTTAAACAGATATAACCAGGATCATGAAAGCAATTGAATTACTCTTGTTTCATATTTTTTTTTTGACTGTTTTACAACCAGCTTTATGGAAACATTTAGTATCTCTTTACCTGTCAGTAAAGTAGATTTGTCCAATAACGTTGACGAAATTCAAGACCTCGCACGCGAAAAATCTGAAGGCGTAGAAGTTATGATTGTGCAAGTTGAGGCTGAAGTAGTTGACCAACATTTGCTTGCGTTCTCGCTTGGCATCGTCATCAACAATGGGAGAGTTCAGTTGCATCACCAGCATCTTTACCTTGCCACCTTCCCAGATCTTCCAAAGATATCTTGGGATGTAGAACATGATAGCCTGTCGGGATAGAGAATTTATTAGAGAAAAAAATGGTTTCAAACAACCATTAACAACTACAGTTTTGGAAACTAGTATTATCAAACAAGAATGATTACAGGAATCTGGTATAATCAGCATGGACATGCTGAAGTCAGACAACATTCAGCCTTCACATTCACCGCCTACAAGGAATAACAGAAGTAAGGTGAGCCGGGAGGAAAGTTCGGTGAGACAGTACAATACGATGGTAAGTTCAGAGGTCAACGTGTAACGCGCTCGAAGTGCGCCGGCTAAAATCACCGAGAACCTGGCAATCTGACGTTGGGGTCAATAGAATGGGTAGTGAATGATAACCGCAGTTACCAAACCGTTTGGAACATTTCCCAATAACCGTTTACACTAATTTATATATAAAGTCGGAATTACATGAACCTACAGAGGAACAATATCTAATTATCTACTCTGTGCATTGTTGGCATAAGTGAACAGATGGCGTTGACATTCTCAGTATGAGTACGGGGGTGCAGTAAGGAAATGCGACTGAAACTACTAACTAACCTCTAAAGTGAGAGGTTATAAGTGTGATTGAATCACAGATACGGAGAAAATTAAATGAAATTTAATGAAATTGAAGATCAAATACCGAATTTATTGGATAAAATGAGAACGCTCGCGCAGTAATCTATTACTTTTAATGTTGATGTAATGTTGAAATAAAGCGATTACTTGTCATTGTGCGACTAACCTCATCATGCAAGAAGGTCTGTAAACAATTCCCGGTTTATTCTGACCGAATGAGCGAAAAAAACAAATAAAAATATAACAAAATGAAGATTGATAAAATCATTCGAAAATCTTGGGTCATCAGATACCATATGGGTCTTGGAAAATATACGCCTCTAGCATTATTAACCTAGTTTCATGGAATTTGTACCATACGACTTACTAATTTTCGCATAGGTACACTACTAATTTGTTAAATCGAGTCACATCACTGCACACACAGGCGTAAACTGTAAATTATTGAACAACACATTCCACATCTTTTGTAAATAAAAAAGACTCGATGTTCCCAGCATTCAGAAAAAATACACGATCATACCATAAGCCACCGAGCAATTGGTACAGATATGAACGCAAAACCGGTAATCTTATAGGTAAATATTCACACGCAGGTGCTAGCTACATTGCCACAGAATCATATATGGTCGTCTCACCTATGCAAACAAATATATGGACACGTCTTGCCCCCAAAAAAGTCACACTCAGCCCATCATTCTAACGGTTAATAAACTCATAGCCGCGAATATGCCAAACCAGCCACCTGACCCTCGCTAACGGCATTGTTGTCGTTCGAAACATATATCTTCGGTCGTCACGGCCCAAGCGACCTCTCCTCCAACACTACATGAGGCTGTTGAATTCTAAAAACACAATATAAACAGCAATGAAATCCCGTCCGGTCCACGAATCTGGCATCGCGGCGCCCAAACAGCCCCGAGTCTGCGCCCGCGCCTTGAGGCACGCCACCCACGCCCATCCCGCCGCCCCGACCCTAAACCTCCCAGAAACGCCCGAAAAACGACAGTCTAACTTACCTGAAGGTACAGGAAGAGCGTCACCCACTGGTAGTACTTGTGGTGTTTGGTCTGGTAGTGGTCGTCGGGCCCGTGGATGTTAGGGTTGGCGATGCCCGGGTGGGGCACCTCCTCTCCGATCTTCGCGCCCGTCAAGGAGGGTATCGTGAAGGTCGAGTGGATCCAGCAGTACGTATCCATAATCCCCGAGTCGACGCCTTCGACAATGCAGTCGATCGGGTCGCCGAAGTACTGCTTCTGCGTCACCAGCAGGCTGAACGCCACCAGGATGAACATCGTGGCTTTGTAGTGCATGCGGAAGATATTGTTGTCGATGCTCACGCAGTCTATTTTCAATAGACCGCGGATCGACCCGAACACATCATACATTTTGCCGGTTTATCCTTCAGCAAAAGCACCAATAAATAGTCCGTCTTTCTCTCACAAAATAAAACCCGAAACACACGACACACGGAATAGGTCTTCCTGCCACGGGAGTCGGCGAGACACTCGCTCTCGCGGTCAGCTGGA